GAATTGCCCTATCTGATTTTATACCCTTGGAAAAATAGTTCTATCAAAATTCAAACTCCTTGTCATCAAATCGAAATGTACCCTTAGCTGACCCTCCAGTGTGCTGTCAGAGTCTGTAGCGTGTATGGGAGCAGCTTGCCCATCTATCTCTTCAAAGCAACTGGTGGAATCGAACTGCCAGAGAGAACTGCCTTTGCGTTAGCAGTGCAGCTCTCTACAGCCTACGCCACCAGAGAGCTCCCGATCCAGTACATAGCAGGAAGGTAGTAGGTGCGGCTGTGTTTTAATTTGGTGGAAGGCGAACACCCCTGTGAGCCTGAAGTTTCGTATATTTCTAGCAATGTTGACTTTCGTTATAGATGCCAATATTCTGTCAGTTATACCTCGAAGAGCTCATTGAAATCGAGTAATAAGTATGTCCTAAGGCTTTCTCCTTGTCTTGAGCATCCTTTATGTATACTTACAGCAAACAGAGGGCCATATTATATCTTTACTGGAAGTAGATTCTTAAAATTCTTGACCTTAAAGAAGTGCTGGGAACATAGTAGGTGTTCAAAATGGTTTTTGTTGCATTAAAGAATGTTTTCTTGAAAATCTCAAAGGTATATTTGCTTAGTTTCTCAACTATTTAAATTCTTAAGACACTTTACACGCTACTTAGTGGTTTTAGTTAGGAGTGGTGGTAAGTAAGTCATTAGGAATGTGCACACTCTAAAGTTGAAATAACCATCTTTAAGACCCTTCAAGAATTAGTGTCCATGGCCTCTTATTGCCTGCCGTCTCTACCCTCAGATGCTCAGTCTTTCTCTGAGACACTACTGTCTTACTGGTTCTGAAACCTGGGCTCTCCTGAGGCACCTTTCACGCACAGCCCTCTTGGCAGTAACTCTCATTTAGTCACGTCAAACACCCTACAGGTCCCGTGGTCAGATTGAGAAAGTCTGTGCTTTCTCCTACTCTGTGTCTTTCGGAACTTCCTTTTCTGCAAATCCTCCCCTCTCTGAGTTGTAGCATTTGACTCTGCCCTGCCTTACATTGTTGGCACCTTCTCCCAGTATCTCAAAGTCTTGGACCCATGGCCTCGAGGTAGGCTGCTTCCATCCTGGGTGATACTGACACCACATGGTGCCATCCACAAGGAACACCCTTATCTCCAGTGAACTTAACATGCTGATAGTGAAGACCTGGCCTTACTCTGACTGTATCCCTTCCAAAGTCCAAGCACCCCACCCACCACCTCCATTCCCATAGAGCCTGAGTGACTGTGTTTCAGACTGTTCCCAACCTCCTGATTCCTGGCACCTATTCACCACCTTCTTCCCTGACGTGATTACACCCGCCCCTCTTCTGTCTCAACACTGACAGAACACTGCTCTGTCATTCAGCTACCAAAATGATCAGTTAAATACGTACGTCAGTCCACCGCCTCATCATAGTCTTTAGTGGTGTTTTACTCAGAATAAGATGCACATTTCTTATCATGACCTGTGAGGCCCTTATAAATATGACCACTACTTTTCTCAGCAGCCTCTTACCATGTTCCGCCAAAAGCGCTCTTGCCTTATCTTTATCCTGGTGTGTGTGCGTGCGTGTGTGTAAAACAGTGCTTACTGCTTCTCGAGGTTACTTCTTTATCCGGGGTGTGGGTGTGTGTAACAATGCTTACTGCTGCTCTAGGTTACTTACTTACTTACCTGCCTCTGTGTTAGTTATTTTTCTCCTTGAGGTTGTACACTCTGGCAGAGTAGGCACACCCTTGGTCAGCTTGTATAGCTCAGATTTCCCAGAACTTAGCATGTTTTAGACATCTGGCATCTGAGAGCTGGACAATGAATAAGGATGCCAGAGAATTGATGCCTTTGAGCTGTGGTGTTTTAGAAGAACTCTGAATAGACTGCCAAAAGAACACATATGTCTTGGAGATAGTACAGCCTGGGGGCTCCTTGGAGGCAAAGATGACACAGCTTTGTCTCATGTACTTTAGGCATGTTGCTAGGAGAGGCTGTTCTTGCAAAGGAACATCCGGCTTGAAAACAGTGGAGAGTTGGTGAAGGAGCGTAAGCCTCTCAGCCAGGTAGATTGACACAGTGACTGCAGTAGTGGGCACAAGTGGGTCAGAAATTATTCGATGGCACCGGACGGTTCAGATCTGTTGTTCATAGGGTTGCTGTGAGTTGTGCTTGACATGATGGCAGCTAACAACAACTCTTTACTGAAGAAATAGTAAATATGCTCCCTTCTGGCTTTTTTAATTTGTGGTACTTTTTGTGACGTTTCCTCTTTGTCCTAGATAATTAATAAATAAATCCCCATTTCATTCATTGGCCTATTCTGTCTCTTTTGACATCGAGTTCTCAAATACTATAGACTCCCACCATTCATGGCAATGACTGGGTAATGTTTTATATTCATTTGTATGATTATATGATGAATCATTCCCTGTACCCAGCACCCCTTCCCCGGCCAGCCACCTTTGGCTTAGGCACTTAGAGCTGTGTGGGCTTCTTGGACCTTAGCACCATACTTGGCACATTGGAATATTCCAGAAATAGATTTTAAATGGATGAATTGCCTAATAGCTTGTGAATAGAAGGACCATTACCCCCCCCCCCCCAATTTGGTTATCCCTCCTGATTACTGTAAGTCCCAGAGCTTTACAAACATCAGACAACTCTCTTATTTGCCCTTTAGTGTTTGGTAAGTTTGCCCTCAGTTGGAAACCAAACTCTCCTCACAGCAAATTTATTACATGCATGTGCACCTTTAAAATTCTTGAAAAAGCTTTCAGTTGCCTTCTGCACTAAAATAAAGCAAAATAAGGACCACGTAGGGAATTTTGGTGCTATAGTCTGTAAGAAGTTCTGCTGCTTACCCAAAGTCTTGGCTCTTGGTGGTTCAAATCCACCAGCGACTCCAAGGGAGCAAGATGGGCAATCTCCTCCCCTGTGACATATAGCCTCCAAATTCCACCAGGGGGTCTTCAGTTCGAGCGTGATCATAGTGACTGATCACAGGAATACGTACCACTTGATTTGATGGGAACAGATCTTGTTCAGACCTGCATGCTGCCTGTATTTCCCTGACTCTAGATGATCACTCTCTTAAGTCATACTGCTCAAACTTCCTCCTGCCATTTGGGTTCCTATCTACCCAAATGCGAAGAAAATCTCTCCGTTTTACATGCCCTTCAGTTAGCGTCCTACTCACCCTCACTGATAAAGTGCTGTTTACATGATCCTCAGACTCTAAGCCCATGAGCCCCCTCTTCAGTGATCCTTTCACGTCACATACATCATAGATCTTACAGTCCTACTGGTGTTAGCAAAGATACAAATCCCGTGTCCCTGGACCTTCCACCTCAGATCCCCTTAGTATATCAGTTACTTTCCACACCTGCATTGTGAGCCTTTCTCTGTGGTCTGGAGGGATGGCCCTCCACAGTGTGGCTCTCCCGCTGGCCACAGCCACCTGCAGGTTCGTCCTTTCTAGGACAACCATGTGTCTGTTATAACTGAGCATGTAAATGGGTCGAATGTTGATGTCAGGTTTTATCTACAGGTTTTGCATTGTTGCTGATCAGTGCAATCGAGTTGACTGATCCATTAATACCTCTGTGAACAACCATCGAGTTGACTGATCCATTAATACCCCTGTAACCAACAGATCTGAACCTTGCCCTGCCTTGGGCCATCACACTATCTCTGATACGCTCAAGCCCACTGTTGCTGTCCCTGTGTCAGTCCGTCTCGTTGAAGGTCTTTCTCTCTTTCTGACTCATCATTTCCCAGCATGATGTGTTTTTCTCAGGATTGGCTTCTGGCAACATGCACAGTGCATGTGAGATGGAGTTCCACCATCCTTGTCTCTCAGGATCACCCTGATTGCACTTCCAAGACCGCTTGCTTCGTTCTTCAGGTTGACCCTGACAGACTCGGTACTCTTCTTCAACACCCTAATTCAGAGGCATCCGTTCACCAGTCTCTGTATTCTTTTGGAAACCATGAATGGTTTTGCTTTGGTTCTGTAACTCTGCTGCGGTGTGCTCCTGTGTGCCTCCACAGTGCTTTCCCTTGATGTGTATTTCATAAACTTCTCCCCATAAGCAACATACTCCAGAGCTTTGTGCCAACACGGAATGACTTCATTTCCAAAGTGGGCCACTACCTGCGCTAGAACATCCCACAGGCCCAGCTCCTCCTGGCCATTGCTGAGATCTCCTGCCTCCAGGCATCTGCCAGGTGTCCTCCAGCCTCACTTGTCCTCCCTGACTTTAGGGTCCTAAAAATAGAGATGGGTTCTGAGAGAGACAATCTCTACCTTAAGTTGTATTTTAGAGCTAAATGCTTTCATAATCTGAGAGCTTCTCCCAGAAAGGAATTGGAGCTGCAGCTGTGGATCTGTATTCATAGGTGGGCCATTGGGACAGTCACATGAATGAAATGCCTGTTTTCTTTGGAATTATTTGGATTGATGATTGTCAAGGTCAGTCAAGGTGTTAAAAAAATTATATAAAGCCCTATTTATTTTTTTTGCATGTCTGCTGTTCTACTGCTTTTGAGGCCTGTGGGCTCGTTTAAAACCTCATTATTTTCACGTATTATTGCCTGGAGTGGTTTGATGTGTAGGTACAATCTCACCATAGGCCTCTGTGTCTCCAGGTAGAAGGGACACAGGCTAGTAGGGGATCTCTGAAGTCTTGCACTTATCACTGCTTATCCTGATTCTCATGACAGCTCTGTGCGGTACAGGTAGCATTCTGACTATTTTAGACATTTTAATAAGCTTCAGAGAGGTTAAGTAACTAGGCATCTTACACAGCTGGCAGTCAGCTTCTTTCAAGCTGCCTCTGAATGTTGTCTTCTTTCCACTATACAGGTGAATTTGCTTGATTGCAAGTTGTAAGTGGCATTGCCAGTGTTACATTTTCATCTCATTAACACTTAAGTCCCTTTTGTAACATTCTCTCTTCCTCTGTTTCTTCCCTCTCTCCACCACCATAGAGCATACTCCTTCCACGTCAGTGCAGATGGTCAGATGCAGCCTGTCCCCTTCCCGCCCGATGCCCTCATTGGACCCGGGATCCCCCGACACGCTCGCCAGATCAACACCCTGAACCACGGGGAGGTGGTGTGCGCCGTGACCATCAGTAACCCCACGCGGCACGTGTACACGGGCGGGAAGGGCTGCGTCAAGGTCTGGGACATAAGCCACCCTGGTAACAAGAGCCCAGTATCTCAACTCGACTGCCTGGTGAGTGAACAGGGATACAGGGTCCCCTTTCCTTCAGATAAGGGGAAGCGATGAACGGGAGGATGGAAGGGGAGGTGTAGGTGGAAAGCAAAGTGTAACACCACAGTGGTGATCACAGAAGCCGGCATGCAGCTTGTTGGTCTTTCCCTTGGCCCGAGTTGGAAACAGTCTTTGTTCAGATCCTTGACACAGGATGAGCCAATATTTCCCAGGCACGACCTGGCCCCAGTTATGTTTTCATTAACTTGTCCCAGTAATGCAGAAAGAAGGACTTTGTTTTTCTAGACTAAACTAGTTGCCGTTGAGTTCCAACTCAGGACGGCCTCAGGTGTGGTAGAGTAGAGCCAGGTTCCATGGCCTTTTCAGTGGCTGAGTTTTAGAAAACATCACTACTCTCTGTCCTTTCTTCCCATGTCCTCTGGGTGGATTTGAGCCTCTACCCTTTGGTTTGGAAGCAGGAGTGATACCCACTTCCTACATAACATGTCTCCAGAAACTCTGTGAACTTTGGTAAATGTCGATAGTGGTAGAAAGGCTTTCAGACCTTTTGTTCATAGGGTCGCTATGAGTCGTGCTCGACTCGAAGGCATTCAGCAACAACAACCTTTTGGTTAGCCCTTAACCGTCTTGAACGGTGTGTACCATCTTGAGCCTGTTGGAGAAAGGGAGGATGGTGCAGGATAGGATAGGTTTCTGATCTCTTGTTCATGAGGCCATTCGACAACACCTGATTTAGAAATTTCTTGTCTCAGATTAAATCTGATGAGGGGGTCAATAGGATTAAGGGTCCGCAAAATGGTTCCTGTAAGCATGGTGCTAAACATCATAATCCATGCAAAGAAGAACCTACTGGTTCCTGTGATAAACGCTAGCTATAACACTAGCTATCTTTTTGATACTTTGCTTATTATTTGCCCTTTGTAATTTTGGAAATTACCAGTTGGTTTCTTAGATCAGTGGGAGAGTGTTGCTGAGTGGTTGATTTTTCTTCCCCATCACTGAACATTCCTTGAGTAAGTCTTGCTTCCAGTTGATGCTGATTTAATCCAGTCCACAGTGCCTTTCCATCAGCTCAGGCAGTGCCTGGCAGAAGAGTTGGGCTCTGGAGGTCTTTGACCCCTGAACCTTGACTGCACTTGGAGAACTTTGAACACCTGTGTTCCCAGCTTTGCTCCTTCAGGACTGCAGGAGCTCCTGCATTAATGCATGCATGTATCTGTGTGTGCAAAAGACTCCAGTAGTTGAGGACTATACAAAGCTTTTAATTTGGTGGTAGTGGTAGGGGGTGGATCTAGATCTTTGCATTCTGATGCTAATTAAGATTAAATATCTCAGCACTAAATTCTGAAGATCAAGTTTAAGTACTTCCCTAATTTCATGTAATTTTCTCGTATTAATCCACTTTATCATTGTCATAAGTATAAATGGCTCATTAAAACCAGGAGGGAACACAATACTTCTATGGATTTCTGCTCTCATGTTAATGCTGTTTTCCTTTCCTCATGAGTAATCGCTTGATGGGTTTTGTCTTCACAGAACAGGGATAACTACATCCGTTCCTGCAGATTGCTCCCTGATGGGCGCACCCTAATTGTCGGAGGGGAAGCCAGCACTCTGTCCATCTGGGACCTGGCGGCTCCCACTCCCCGGATCAAGGCGGAGCTGACTTCGTCTGCCCCCGCCTGCTACGCCCTGGCCATCAGCCCAGACTCCAAGGTCTGCTTCTCCTGTTGCAGCGACGGCAACATCGCCGTGTGGGACCTGCATAACCAGACACTAGTCAGGTGGGTTGGCGGCACGTGGGGCAGGTCGTGAGGAGTACCCCATTTGAGAACCTTCATCTGATTATTAATTGTTAAAAGCAGATTGACTTTAAAATTCTGGAAACAGATTATTTATACAAACTCTTGCTTTCTAGGCTCTCTACCCCCAGATGTTCTTCTAAGCTTCTTCAGTGTGGTTTAAAATAGTGAAGTCCATTTGACATAATTAATGGACATTCTGATCTCATGACCTTCTAAATCTTTAAGGGGAGGGGATTCTCTTTGCTTTAGAGTCTCCACCAACTCCTAGCTCACCCTCCATTGAGTTTCTGAGGCTATAAACAGTATAAAGGAACTTAGCCATCTTTGTCCTGAAGAACTGCTGATGGATTCAAATTGCAGAGATGCGAACTTAGCATAACTCACTAGGGACTATGTCGTCAGAGCTGGTAGTCCCTGAATTCATGAAGCGTTGCTGAATCTAGAACAGATTATGCTGAGCAACATGAGTCAGGCACAAAAGAGCAATTTTAGTATCAGGCCACGGCTGTGAAAAGGGAGCAAAACGTTTATGACTTCATTGTCTTATTAAAACCAGTGACTGTCAAGTTGCTTCTGACTTGGGTCACACGTGGTGAACCCTGGTATGTCTAGGTAGAATGTGCTCCTTGGGTTTTCAGTGGCTGCTGTTTGGAAGTAGATTGACAGGGCTTTCTTCTGATGCACCTGTAACGCACCATCTCTTGCTTGCTTACACCATCATTCCTGATATGTCTATCAGTAGAGAAAGAAGATTCATTCTGCATGGCGTATGTGGCCTGAGGTGCTGTGTGTATGAACCTCATTCATTTAGCAAGCATCCAGAACTTACATGGCCTAGACTCAGCTGCATGCTACTCACCCTGAAATGGTCTTGGTTACCCATTGCCCCACGTTTAAGGATGTATGAACCTAACCGATATCTCTTTAGAAAGGGACTTATGTTCTGGTGGGTAAGGATACTGGTGGGTAATATCCTCCAAGGAGTCTCCCGAGCCCAGCCCCTAAGAGAGGAGGAAACAACAGGTGTGACTAGCCAGGTAGAGTGTGAGGAGATTGAGGCTAGCCAGGTGAGCAGGTAAAGGGAAGAGACCCTCAGTTTCAGTCTGCAGAAGACTGTAGGACTCGGCCTGCGCTGCATGTTTCATAAGGAACTCTGATAGCAGAGTGAGTTATATAAGTTGTGCTGCTAACAGGGTCGATCAGGGTTTGAATCCACCGCCTCCTTCATGGGAGAAAGATGGGCTGTCTCATTGAAGAAGTTTAAACTGGAACTCCATATTTAATGCCTTTTCTGGTTTTGACGCTCAGGCAGTTCCAGGGCCACACGGACGGAGCCAGCTGTATCGACATTTCCAACGATGGCACGAAGCTCTGGACGGGCGGACTGGACAACACGGTCAGGTCCTGGGACCTACGTGAGGGGCGGCAGCTGCAGCAGCACGACTTCACGTCCCAGGTGACTGGTGTCCCCACCCCAGCCTGTGTGAAGTGCTGGGCTGCCCTGTGTTCCTGCACCCCCACCCCCACTCCCCTCCAGCACAGCAGCACCACTTCACATCCAGGGTTGGGTCAGTCATCGAGGACATTTTAAGAGAATAGTTTTTAGGGAATATCAGACACACTAAAAACCAGAATTAAAAAGTGGTTCATGTATTTTGCCAGATGTGATCAAGTCATAGCAGTTTTCATAACAATGAAAAAATCTGCAGTTTCCTTCCCAGATTTTGTGTTATTTAGAACATTGGTATATTTCTAGTATTCCATTAAACATAAAATGGTTTTTATCTTACTTTACTAACAAATAAGAACCTGGAAGGTTTTTCTTTCAAAGACCATTACTTTGTATATTTGTTAAGTAATAGGGTTAAGTAACAGGCCATGGTCTTCGCAATCACTTGTTATGCATCAGAGAGTTGGACAATGACCAAGGAGGATAGAAGGAGAATTGATGTCTTTGAGCTGTGGTGCTGGAAAAGAGTATTGAGAATACTAGTATTGAGAAGACTGCTGGGAAAACAAACAGATTTGTCCTGGAAAGGGTTGAACCGGGTGGCTCCTTGGAGGCAAGGATTCTGAGGCTCCGTCTAACATACTTTGGACATGTTGTGAGGAGAGACTGGTCCTTGGAGAGGGACGGCGCAGGAGGGGAAGGCCCTCTATGAGGTGGATTGATTCAGTGACTGGGATAACCGGGATGGGAGTGTCAGAGACAGTGCGATTGGCGCAGGACAGAGCAGAGTTTAGGGCTGTTGTATATAGGGTCGCTATGAGTCGCAAGCGACTCTACGGCACATAACAACAACAACATGATTGATAGATAAATTATTATATTACTCATGATGTGACTTTAGTTTCTTCCTGTTAATCCAGATTGTCTTGGTTTCTGTCAGAGTTAAAATAATCCCCGGAAGATGGGTTTGTCTGTGGTGAAAGTGCTTACGTCACCCATAGCATGACAATTTCCCATCTTAATCCTAGATCTTCTCTCTGGGCTATTGCCCAACGGGCGAGTGGCTGGCGGTGGGGATGGAGAACAGCAACGTGGAGGTGCTGCACGTCACCAAGCCCGACAAGTACCAGCTGCACCTGCATGAGAGCTGTGTGCTGTCGCTCAAGTTTGCCCACTGTGGTAAGCAAGCAGCTTCTCTGTTTTCTGTCATTTCAAGTCAGGTGCTTCCACTTAGTCATGCATCCTTCTTTGGAATTGCATCGTTTCCGTGCACATGCCTACTTCCGAATGCCGTGTAATTTTCTGGCGTTTATCCCCTTTATCATTGTCATAGTATACGTGACTCATTACATCTGGGCAGGTTGGCTTTTGCTTTGAAGTGAAAGATAGCTATATTGCAGATGCCTCTTTTGTAAATATTTTCATGCTCTGGAAAGTCGGGCTCAAGTGTCTGATGAAGTAACTCACACTTGTCTATTGTGAAACCTTCTTTCTGTAGGCAAGTGGTTTGTGAGCACTGGGAAGGACAACCTGCTGAATGCCTGGAGAACACCTTATGGGGCCAGTATATTCCAGGTAATGTGTGCTTGTTTGCCTGCCTTGTGGTGATGCTCACAGGCGCCTTCTCTGATAAGAATTACACACATGGTGTTCCTGGGAGGTCAGGGCCAATGTTCTCACTGTGTGTGAGGAGAAAACAGCTCGGGTTAAGTGTCGTAGCCTCCATGGTGCGGAGCTGGGTATCCCGGATGTTTCTGGCTCAGGAGCCCAGCTCTACCCATTGCACTGCATTGCAATTGTGGGACCCCTGGTCACTCCCTGACTGAAATTTTGAGTTTTCTGTTTTGGTTTTTTTTTGGGGGGGGGAATTAGGGGTTTTTGTTTTGGTTGGTTTTTAGTTTAAAACTTGAACAAGTTGTCTGAGTACTGTTGTTATTATATTATTTCTTTGCCATTCCACCTCCCCCACCCCCCAGCCAACAAAGAGTGTCAGGGTTCAGTATATCTTTGTTAAATTTTTAACTTGGATTCTTTAATGTTATGTAATGGAACTTTAATGTCATAAATTATGTTTTCTTTTATTGATGAAACTTTTATAGAGGGATCAAATTGTAGACAAAAACTAAATGTGATTTTTTCCCCCCATAGTAATTTTTTTAGAAAAAATCATAGTATCTGTTAATCAAATTGTAGACAAAAACTAAATGTGATATTTCTTTAGAAAAAATCATAGTGTCTGTTTGTATGCTTTTTTTTTAAAGTCAGTAAAACATTACTTAGTGCTGTTTTCTCCTGATAAAATAGTCTAGCTCAGTGGTAAGGAGGTACATTCCCAACCCAAAGGCACTTGATTGAACCAGCCAGATCCATAGAAGAAAGATAGCCAATCTCCTGTATAATTTCCTGCCTCTGAAAACCCGCTGCGGGGTCACTATGAGTCTGTTCCAACTCGGTAGTGCACACCAACAGCTCCAATCTAAAATAATTTTTGATAAATAATACCAAACTTTGACTTACTTTTTATGAACACAGTCCACTTAGAATTGAATTCTGAACCATCACCCTTACTGTACTTCCTGCCAAATTTGGCATGCACAGTTCTAAATAGGGTACTTTGTTATTGTTTAAACTGTTGAAACTCTCCGCCTTCATATACAGGATAAATTACAAAATTGGACTTTACTATAAAGAATTTTCTGTTTCTACCTCAAGAAAGGTAGTATTTTCCCCAATATGTTCCTCACTTAAATGCTATGGTGTCCAGTGAATGTTTCCTGTTTATTACTGAGGCTCAGAGAGGGACAGAGCGTCATTGTCAGAGTTTTCACGGCTCTGTCTAAATCTAAGCTATATGATTGCAGCCAAGGGGTTTTCATACTCCTCACACCCCATTCTTTTCAGTCTGGAAAACACGGTTTGAAATCATCCCTTGCTGGACCGGTGAAGGTCAAGGTCACTGATTTTGTGTCCCTTCCTTGCCCATTCCCAGGGCAAGAACAGACCAGTCTGGGGAGGTGCACCCACAGTGTGGGGGTTGGCCCCTCTCTACCAAAGCCTTTCCCCTGTGAAGTCCCTGTGACTCAGTGGAGGGCGGTGTGTGTCAATTTTGCCCCAGATCTTCCCATCCTGTCTCATTAGCTTTTCTTCAGATACTTAATGTTTTTCTTGATGTGCTTTCTCCTAGTCCAAAGAATCCTCTTCGGTGCTCAGCTGTGACATCTCGGTGGATGACAAGTACATTGTCACCGGCTCTGGGGATAAGAAAGCCACAGTTTATGAAGTTATTTATTAAGGACAAATCTTCATGCGCACTTTGCTCTCCCCCCGCTCCTCGGTAACCCAGCAATCCAGATGCTCCTTACCATTGTGGAGTTCAGTCCCCTTAACCCCACCTCCTACTTGCTGTTTAATTGTGAATACTCATTAAGAATCTGTGATACCAAATCTTTCAGATATCTACTTGGAAGAACGTGGGATAGGCGTACTTACCAGTGAATGGGATCTTTACTTATGTATCATATCTGTAATATATTTATTTTGTTTAAAGAAGGCTTTCTAACAATGACTGACTAAATACAGCTGTCTGCTCCTGCATTGATAAAGAAAATGCATCCTATTTGATACCCTAATCCCCCCTTTTTTGATAAAGGAGGGGAAAGGAAGGTTTAAACTGATTAAACATTGTCACTAACTGTAGACTAATGACTGTATAGAGATGTGAAATGTATAATTACACATGGAAGCAATATGTTGCTGTGTTGTTAAGTTTTTAGGTTTTTCTGTTTTTACGTATTTTTTTAAAAACAGTTTGGGAACTTGGTTGAACAATTAGAATACGACAGCCCAAGTCGTAGTCATTTGAGTCTATTTGGACAAATGTAATCATATATGTAGAGAGAGCGCTTTACATAATCTCTAAAAAGAATTGGATTTTTCTTTCATTCCCCTCCCCCTTAATGACAGATGTCTTTGTAATATCTTTTTAATTCTTTTTTTAAATTGTACTATAGTCAGATGAACAAATTGGCCTCAGAAAGATAAAGTAATCCCTGCTGGATATTTTTGCCATGTTTCTTAGCCAAGGGAGAGATGTATCCTGGGGCAGTTTTGTCTTTAAAAGACATCACGGGCTATTTTTTGGCATGTTCTTTGGGAACTGCACAGCTGACAGGGACAACTCCTTCCACTGTGCAAAGCCGAGTCTTTTACAAAACAGTGACAGCCGAGGAGGATGAGCAAGGACCTCCCGCTAAAAACCAGAAAGAATGGACTCTCACCTGGGATGAGGACTTACTTTCTTTACCTCCGGTTCTTTCTATGTCTTAGTTGGAAGTCCCCGATACGGACACAGGCTGTGCCATTGTGCCAGAAACATTGTGTTATCTTTTATGTTGTTGTTGTTGCTGTTAAACTATGATATGTGACTCCTTTTTTATTATTGTTTTGTTTGAATGCTTTAAAAAAACACAAAACCCTTTTAAGTCTGTGGATCTGCTGATGTACAGTGCCTTTGCTGCTATGGATCAAAATCAAAAGAACCGTGTAGATAAACTTTATTGTATACGTAGAAAATGACTTCATTTCATACTAGAAATGGATGGATGCTGCAAGTTGAAATGGACTGTCCATTGACGTTCCTAATGTGGTAGCAGAAACAAAAATGGTGTCTTAAGTGCTTAGTGTTTGATGTCATTAACAGTTTCGTAAAACTCTACAGTGTAGAAAGATTTTGATACTAAACTGTGCATTGTACATAGTTCTAATGCATTGTATTGACCACCGGTACTTCTATAATGGTAGATTGTTTGTTGCATTCAGACTTTTAAGCATTAAACATAATTAACTTCTACTACGCTTATTTTGCTAATTCTTTGCTTTGATGGCTTTAGTTTTCTTTTTATAATCTTGGACCTTTTCGTGCCTCTATGTTAAAAATGTATATTTTAGTCTAGAGAGAAGTAGTTGAAGTAGTGTAGATTTTTATAGTTGCTGTTTTTATTTCCACTTCAGACTTGAAAAGTAGATGATAGCAATGACAGAAGTTACTTTCCAATATTGAGTAGCTCTGTACTTGTGAAAACACTGTCTTCAAAAATGTTTTCCCGTCACTCAAAACATTGATGCTTTCAGCTGAGCTGCCCGATATGGTCAGCACTCGCCACTTGGGGCCATTTAAATTTAAAACTCAGTCCATGATTCTCACTATTTCTCAAGTGTCCAGGAACCTCCTGTGGCTGCAGGATCTGGTTGACAGGATGGATACTCAGCATCCCCGTACAGGGTGCTGGTGGGTCAGCTCAGCATTCAGGTTTCTAGCTCAGGGGCTGGGGACACATTTCCATCCTAAGATCCAAAGTCTCTGAAAGCAGCAGGGTTTTCTGGCTGTGTGACGATCTGTCATGAAGAAGGAAGTTTCAGTTCCCCATTCCTAGAACACGGCGAGCTGACACAACGGTCCACTGGGCAGGACGGCTGGGGAGTTGGAAGCACCAAGGGCAAGACCCAGCGATGGTCGGCACAAGCTGGCTGACCATTTAGGTCCTGGATTAGTTTAGCAAAACTTGGTCATTAATAGCAGCCCGCATGTGTGTTACTATTGTTGCTTTAAGCCCATAGGAAAGAGCCAGCTGGAGAATCTCAGTAGGTGCAAGGGGATTGTGACCTGAGGCTGGTGGGGGAGCCATGGGACTAGTTATGAGGGTCTGCTCTGTACAGAGCACTGTGCTGGCTGCTTGGACATGGTCTTTACCTCCAGGTGATTACATCACATTTCCCATGCTCCATGCTCCTGTACGGTTCCAGAGCCAGACAGCCGAAGGGCAAGGCGGGACTGGGGAAGGTGGGCCTTGTCTGTCCAGTATGTTCTTAGCTCACTAGGAAATTGTGGCACCTCAGGAGAGGGGGTAAACGGTTAGCCTCCAGCCAGCTGAACTGTCTGAGAGCATGTGATACCAGAGGCTTTGCCAAGAGGAGGTGGCAGTCCATTGTAGGCTGAGCAGCATCTGCAGGATCTCGACAGACAGTGGCCCACTGTCCTGAGAGCTTCAGGTCACTCCACTCGAGGCACCAGTGAGGCGGGTCTCGTGCCCTCGCCATACTTCTTCCCCAGAGCAGCCTTTTCCCCTGCTACCTGTCCGTTGCTTGGTGTGTAGTAAACGCAAACCAAGGCTGCTTCAGTTCGTGGTAACTCCATGCCTGTCAGACTAGAGCTGACTCCATGTTTTCACTGAGTTTTTCACAAGTAGATCACCAGGCTTTTCTCCTGAAATGCTTCCAGATAAACCTGAGCCACTGGCCCTTCCGTTACCAGTCGATGTGCCAACACTATACCATTTGGGGATTCTGGTGTATACAGAATAGTTAGTATTCACAGAATCGAGTAGGGGAATACTCGACATGGAAACACAAATTCTTCTCTGTAGAGGATTCTCGGTTCAGTAATTGTGCATTTTTAGTAAATTTTTTTCTTTTTCTTTTTTTAAGGTAATAGAGGTTTGGAATTGATAAGAACAGTGAGTCTGCCACAAGTATGGCATCTGTTTCCTATGTTAACCTCTCACAGGAGGATGGTCCGCCCCAAGAGTTAAAGGTCCTGTGTGATGTGGTGCCTAAAAACCCAAATATTTGTTACCTTCAGTTTTCTTTTTGAGAAACCTCAGACGTTGGATGTTGAATTCTAGAAAGAGAGAAAAGAATGCATAGGAGACCTAAAAATTAACGGGCATCATTCTCCTCCTCCTGTTTATTTTCTATCTGTAGTTGGAATCTCAAGGCCGGCGTTGAAGTCCGAAGGAAAAAAAGTGATTGACGTTAAGTCTTAACTTTTGCCATGTTTTCTGCTCAGAGTGTGGTATCACAGAATAAGAAGGGAGAAACGGGTCACAAAAACACAAATCATGCTCATCAAGGCGTAGAGAGGACTGGAAGATTGACTTGTTAGAATTAACAAGATGCTAGAAGGCAGGTTGCAGAGGCTGCCAGGAACCTCCAAGGACTGGCGATCAGGTAAAGAGTGGTGTACTCCCAGGTCTTGGTGCTGTGTAGACCTCTGCTTGGTGCCTGGGCCTCTGCTTATCTGGGTGACTTCACGGACAGTCGGCTGCAAGTGCCAGCCATGCCCTGGAGCAGCGAGTGGAGAGACTAGATACATCCTCAGCATGTAAGTGGCTGATGTCACATGGTCACAGGAGAACCAGAAACCCAATATTAAGGCATCTTAACCATACCCTCAAATCCTTTGACACAAGAGCAAGTGATGGGACACTGACCTGCAGCTGGCAGATAGAGCCCTGCATCAGCTTTGTCCTCACGGTGCTCCCTCACCCCCTGCCCCGATAGACTGTGGTGAGCTCATCCGCCCTGCACCAGCTCTGCCCTCACAGTGCTTCCCCCAATAGCCTTTGTGCTCATTTGCTGTATCTTCAGGAGTCCCTGTGCTACCTCTCACTACATAGGGATCTGCTGCAGCACACAAGCAGAGGACTTGCTTAAGGTATTTGCCAGGTCAGAGTATCAGTAATTGTAAGGAAATTTGTTCTCAAAGTCTTTGAAGTCAGTACAGAAATACGGTTTTGATATTCTTGGGTGCCCCTTCTGTAGTGACCCAGCTCTGAGCCGGCTTGCAGGGGCTGCTGTGGGCCCTGCTGCTCTCCCTTTCTCACTGGGGCTGCTGGGGAAGCGCTGCCAGCAGCAGGTGTCTCAGATGCCACTTCATTTACATTTCTGTTCAAATTTCCCTTCAGAGCTGACAATAGAAATGACTGGCCCTTGCCCCTTTGGCAACCCCAAACACACCAGATAAGCTTCTCATATATCAGAACACTGTAATAGCAGTCCTGTCATGATGGTAGAAAAGACGCTTCTATTATAAACTGCTGTTTCCACTGTTGTTTTGGTTTTCCTTGAGCTGCTGGCCGCAAGACCGAATCTTGTGCACCCCAGACAAGCAGCGGGGAGCTGGAGTTTAGACTGTGTAGCTCTCCCCAGAGGGGACCTGCTCACCTGGGACCCGGGTAGCTGGCCCGTAGAGGAGAATTCTCATAGGGCTGTCTCTTGTTCAAAGATAAACGAGCCCAAGTGTTTTGACCAAAGTCCCATTTGATCTCAAGCAGGCCTGGATGAGGTGAATGCTGGAATCTTGAATCTACACAAAAGAGAACAAAGGATCAGAGGATTTACTCAAATGGCCTGGTCTCCTGAGGTGCACGGACAGGCTTGGAGCCCAAGGCTCTTGAGGTGTGATCCAGAATTGTGTCCAGTCGTCAACCCATGCCAGATCCGAACAAAGGCGTAATGGGCCCGGTGAAGA